GCTACTGCACAAAGTTAGGTGACTGCACAAAGTTAGGTGACTGCACAAAGTTAGGCTACTGCACAAAGTTAGGTGACTGCACAAAGTTAGGCTACTGCAGCCTGCAGTTGAGAAAACAAGCTCATCTGACAAGTATTTTTTAAGATATTGGCGAACACTTCATCTTTGCATTAATTCACGGACCTTGCCATCTTTCATTAGTTATCTTGCTCGTGATGCTTTGGATATTGTTAATCCTAGTAGTATGTAGGACTTATGTTGGCCTAGCTCACCACGTGTCGCTGTAGCACAGTGGTTAGAGTTCTCGACCGTGGTGTCTAGAACTTCATGGCTTCAAATCCTATCCGGGACTTTTAACAGTTTTTCTCTTTGTTAACAGATAATTTACATTTGTGATAGTTAATGCTAAATTTCTTGCAATGATTTTCTAACTTAAGAAACATTTTGTGTTAGAAACGGATGCCCCGAATCCAACTAAAGTAGAAGAAAGCATTCACTCACTGGAAAGAACAAAGGATGAACTCTTGAAGCAACGAGAGCTTCTGGAACAGAAACTTCAAGAAGGCTCCTTATTGGATCCCAAGGAAGAAAGAAGGTAAACATGGACCACTGTGTAGAATGTGTTTAAGAAATACTAACAGAGAGACAAACAGACAGAGAGACTGACGGACAGACAGATGGGCAGAAGGCAGGCAGAAGGCAGACGGGCAGGCAGGCAGGCAGACAAGTACAAAGGCAGGTAGACAGACAGACATGCAGGCAGACAGACAGACAGACTGACTGACTGACTGACTAACAGACAGACAGAGAGACACACACAGACAAACAGAACAGATAGACAGTCAGTCAGTCAGTCAGTCAGACAGTCAGTCAGACAGACAGACAGACAGATGGGCAGACAGGCAGACAGGCAGGCAGGCAGGCAAGTAGGCAGACAGACAGACCGACGTATAACCGACAACACAACTATCCTGAACAGTTTATTGTGTAAACATTAAAATATTCTGATGTTTTAGCTTGAGACAATACTAACGTATTCTGTTCCAGGCTTATCGAACTGGACGAAGGTATCGATGCTCTAGAAGCCGCCATTGAATTTAAAAACGAAGGAATTGCAAACAAACAAAAAGAACTAGATAGCGGCCAACTTCTAACCGACAAGGACCGCGAGGGACTGGTGAACAAGCTGAGTAACCTCTCGCCAGGGGAAGCCACTTCTCTGTTGTCAAAGTATTTTGAGAAAGTTGTCGAGCTGCGGGGAAATGAAAAGAAGCTAGAGTTGAGATGCAGTGACCAAGAGGTAAGGGTAGAACTGCTATTTTCTGTTTACTATGTACACCAATGACGTTCTTTTAAATTAAAAAGAATGATATCGTCGCAATTTATAGCAACTGATAAGAAGTCAATAATTTTAATCTTTTCAACGCTACAATAAATAGTACTCGCCACTCTTCAGAATCTCCACGAACAGCAATACCTCCCAAAAAATATTTCGTTACCTTTTGGAACTAGTTGGTTTTCGTCGTCTCGGATGTTTTCAAGAGGAACAAAAAAGTTATCGTTCTTTCACGGCATTATCACTTGGAAAAAAGATTAATGTGCCGTTACATAGCTCCTTTACTGTAAAGTCGATGTTTTAGATTTGTTATGTTGCATTCTCTTGCATTGTTTGTGTTGCATTTTTTGGCATTGTACAGTTTGCATCTCTTTGCGCCGCTTTGCAATTTTAGCTGCTTAGTTATGCTTCGCGTTCCGCTGAGTTGCATCGCTTTACTTTGCTTTGCTTTGTTTTCCGTTGCGTTGCATTGCATTGCATTACAGTGCGTTGAGTAGAATTGCGTCACATTGCGTTGCGTGGCGTTGCTTTGCATTATCTTGTTTTGCTTTTGCCTTCCAGTGGGTAGGGTTGCTTTTTGTTTCTTATTTCCTTTGTTTCATTTTATTTCATTATTGTATTTAGGTTCGTATAAACGAGCAAGAGAGGATTATCGGTGAACTGGGTCGAGGATTACAGCAAGCTGAAATGAAGGGAGACCGGAGACTAGTAGAATATCAAAAGAAATACGAGCAAAGGATCCAGTTCTTAATGAACAAACTGCGTGATGCTGAGTCAAACGAGGCACCAGATCAGAGAATAATGTAGGTTGAATTAGCAACTCAAGTAGACAGACCACCTTTTCTATAAAATTGCCTGTTTGCATACAGGTCATCACTATCGACGTCTTAACGCTATTTAATCGGGGGGAGGGGGGAGGGGGAAAGGAGGAGGCTCAAAAGTGCCTGTGCTGATTTCAATGTTTTCTTACTAACACACCATTTAAGCTATAGTGGTTGATCTGTGTGACTTTTCCTACAAATTATAGGGGACATTTTGGTGCAAAGCATGGAGTACAGAAGTAGTAATACATGAATTACAGTGGAGTAGGAGACATTTTAGTGCATGTTTAGTGAGAGTGTTTTTCCCGAATTTCTGTTTTAGCTCAATTTAGTGACGAGTTTTTGTTCCGGGGGGGAGAAGGATACCCCGGCCAAATTAGGAATGGTTTGGGTTTTAATGTGCTACTGATTGGCCTATAACGAAAATAAAACCTTGACTGTGCTTTGTGGACTCACTCGGCTGTGCCTCGTGAGTCCACAACATTTTGACCACTGTGATGACGCGTATCGTTGTCGATAAGAGTACAGACCACGCTAAACCACATTCGATTTGTTAATTCGCCTTTGAAAAGCACCCTTACTAATAAATGCCCTGTCGGCTCAACAAAGGCGTAACACGTGACTTGTCAGTTGTGATCGCTTCTCTCCCAGCGAACTTGAGAACAGGACCCAGCAGCTGGAGAAAGATCTCTATTACTACAAGAAGACAAGCCGAGAGCTGAAGAAAAAATTACGGGAGAAAATGGCTTCTGGAATGGGTACGAGTTTAGAGTCAGATGTCATAGCAGCCAGCGGTGAACTGGAAGCTCAGTACAAGAGCAGTGACGCACATGGCAAGCAGTTAGTAACTGAGGTTAAAAGAATGAAGGTAACTGAATGAATAAAATCTAGACTGACTGACTGACTGACTGACTGACTGACTGACTGACTAAAATTGACTGACAGTTTGACTGCATGTTTGACTGTCTAACTGACTAGCTGACTGACCGACCGACTGACCAATTGACTGACTACCTTACTGAATAAATGACTGATTGAGCGATTGACTTCTTGACTGACTGACTGACTGATTTGATCGATTGATTGATTGATTACATATTTTCTAAACGTTTTGTAGCATTCTCTCGCTGAAAAGGGAATAGGCGTACCCTCACAAGCATCCACTCCAGTCCGAGTATCTCGTAAAGATCTTCGACAGATGAGGTATAAATTAAACTGGTTACATAACCTAGACAAAAGCACGACAATCGCTAAGGTAGCCCAGTAGTCATGCGCTTGTCTTACGGGTTACTTTCAAAAAGTCACTCAAACAAGTTGATCCACATTACAGGTTTAATTTTTTTGTTATTAGTTTGCAATTTAAGCAGTTGGAAGAAGTTTTATCATAACGAATGCCATGCCATGTTATGCCATGCCATGCTATGTCCAACGAAATTCTTCCTTCCCATCATTATGTTTTTATCACACACATCATTGCAGCAATGGGACGCACACCACTATAGAACCTGGAACTTTTATGTAGCTCAGTGATTTCACAATTGGGGACTCTGGATTATTTTCCCATGATCGTGCGGGTCCTCTATCCTGGTCGAACTGGAATTTGGAGTTGTTGGTTTTTCAGTAGGGAGGTAAAACGGAATTCCCAGGGAAAAAACCCCTGGGAGCAAGGCGAGAACCAGCAAAAAAACTCAACCCACATATGACATTTGGCGGAATCGAACCCAGGCCCTATTGGTGGGAAGAGTGCGCTATCATCCCTGCGCCAGTCCTGCTCCCCAAGTTTCCCAGTGAAGTTTAGCGGTTTAGAATAAGGTAGTCCTCTTTTGAAGGTTTTTTCCATTCAGTAGACTTCTTTAGCTTGGACGGTTTGTTTTCCCATTGTAGACCACGTGATGATACTCTTGAAAATTTTCAAATAGTCGCATGTATATGAATGAATAATTTTAAGATGGGTAAAAGAAAAATTCTCTAGAGAGTATCACTTGGTCTACAATGGGAAAAAAAACCGCCCAAGCTAAAAAGGTCTATTCTGTTCCTCCCTGCATGCCCCTCTTGTCTTTGCATCCGGGCATCACTGTCAATATTCTCTCTCCCAGTTCTCAGGAGGTGTCCCTGCGTAGATCCCAGACTTCTGTGGCAAGCACGGTCCCCGAGTTACCAGGTCTATCGGACAGACACAACTTGGTAGAGGAATCCCCCGACGACCTAGTGCAGGGTACGTGTAGCCGACAAGCTAACTGTTATATAGTTCATCAGAAACTGAACACAATTTCTGTATTCTCATTGGACAATGACAAGTGCGTATATAAGGTGAAGAGTACAATGCGAAAGTTGGCATGGTTGAGACTTTTAGGGCAGATTTTTGACGTTTCATTCAAAGATGTGGAGCTTCTATTTGGCTGGGTTTGTTTTTGTTTGTTTTTGCTGTTGTTGTTTTTGTTTCGGCAGACAGTAAATTAATTATTAATGATCGGTTGAAATGGCCAGCCCGCCAGCTAGCCAGCCAGCCAGCCGTAATCTGTGGCTGCTAAAGCGTGTACAACAAAAATTCACATCTATTCGCACTGTCTACAATAGACATTTTGCTGCATTAAAAGGTGGCCTACTACAGTTTCGATGGATTATAACAACCCAACTTCTAACTCTTTTAAAAAATGTTCCGAGATTTTTTTCCTTTCTCTATTTACTGTTTGCTTAAGTCTTTTACCATTCTATGTGAAACTTGAACAATTAAACGTCAACAAAGCGCAAAATGAACGACCGAGTACCTAAGAAGAGACTTGGCACCAGTAGGTTAAACGAATCAGTTCAAATGGCGATTTAGAATATTGATACTTACTGGCGACTCAGTAAACATACCAGATAACCGTTAGAAACGTAACAGACCATGTCAAGCGATGCAATTAACTGTGCCTCGCATGAATGGCTTGATACCCTTTGAGAGAATAAAAGAACAAATAACAGAAGCAATGCCCCTAGCCCTAAAACAATAACAGCTGCAGCTATACTCTGACGGCACATGCATTTACAAGTTTACAAGAGCTGCTTCACTTTAATTACAAGACATGCAATTGTTGGTATGACTGACACTGCCCATAGATTCTCTATCGCTTTTGAATAAGCCGATCTAGAGGTTACTCATTTGTCCTTTTTTTTTCTTTTTTCTTTCTGTTTTTTTGCCGTAGATTCCATTGAACAAAACAAGAATCCATGGGCTTAAAGACGCGAAGTCAAAAAATCAAACAGAAGTTGAAAAAAAAGAACTGGAGTAAAGACAACATGCCATTTACATAAAAAAAACTTGGTTTTAGTATTTATTAACGTTCATTGTTTGATAAGCGGTGTAAATATTTTAATACGAGGTTGTTAAATACGTGTTTCAGGGATTGTAATTCTGGGAGTCTCATTGGCTCTGTCGTCGATGAATATTCGTTGTAGGCTGCGATCGTGCGGTGTTGCCGTCGGCATGCAGGGAAATGTTTTAAAAAAAGACTTCTAAGTAGTGGTGGTGCGCGTAGAAAACTAAGGCTCGTAGTCTCACTGTTAACTGGTATGCACAGGCAACCTAAAACAAGTAGACTTTGAAGACTTGTGGCCGGCCTAATAAATGCGAAGAAAAAAAGCAACAAAACCAGTCTGTAAGGAAGACATGCGAAAACTACTTGTGCGTTCGACTCTCTCAGAGGCAGCGTCCACACTACGCCGGAGAATTTTGAAAGCGCAGCTTTATTTCTACGGCTGGCCTACCGTCCACACTAATCCGTCCCCAAGACGGAGCTTTTCGAAAACGCTCTTCACACCGGAGGAATTTGAAAACGCCGGCTTTTCGTTTTCGTGTGGACGGAAAACATTACATTACACAATAATGATGTGATTTCCTCAGCTCGATTTCCGCCGCTCTCTCATGTCAGGTCGACATTCCTCCCCGGGAAGAGACTTCGGGCGTCGGGGAGGATCGCGGGGTCCTTTCCCGAACGGCGACTGGTAACCGAGCCTAATGATTTTTCTGACCGAGTTTTCCTCAGACGCAAATCTAAAATGGCCGGTGATTGTTGCGTGTTTAAATTTCTCCGGCGTAGTGCGGATGGGTCCTCATCATCGCAAAGTTACTCTGGCAAGTTGATTAACCCTCTTTCTGTTTTTTTTTTTTTTTTTTT